TTCGGCATCTTGTGCTTACTTCCTTGCGTACGGATGACAGCTGCGTATGACTTCATTAATTGTGTGGTGCTTTCACTTCCTGAGACAGTTGTAAGCACTGCTGTGTAACTGCCTCGAGGGTGCTTGACCATTTTCACACAACGTGGTGCGACCATCCCCCTTGCGCGGAGTGAGGGTTCTCCACCCCGCACAACATCATCTACTCGACCACCAGGGCTGATGATGCTTGTGTGGGTCTCACCCATCCTTGTCAAACGGAACATGAGTCCAACCTCCAGCGACAAAAGAGAAGAAACCAAAAGAAAAAAAAAATGACCAAGCAAAACCTCGTCACCCCCCTCGGATTTACACCAAGAATGAGAAAATGATCATTTCAATACGAATCGGAAGAACCAGAGGCTGCGCGCAGAGTTGGTTGCCCATATCATTCACGAAGCACACCCCTGCCTGAACTAGGACACAAAAATAGTCACCTTCCCGCAGGCGAGCGACTGAAGTGTTCTCCGTAGCTCGCCGTCTTCGATGGCAGTCTTGGCCTTCACGTCCGCGAACGACACCTCATCGTCCGTGCTGAAGCACCACAGGACCAGAGTCTGTTTTCGGCGGCAAGAAAAAAAAAAGACGCCACCAATCAATTTGAACACAACAGAACCCGTCAGCACGCAAGTAAGAGAATGACCGAAAAAGCAAAAATGAACGAATCGCGAACTTTGACAAGAACGAAACCGTGAAAGGATCACGGGAAAAGCGGTGAAGACTGCACCCTTACGTGCCCTTTGGCCACGGAAGACGTCCGAGTCAGTACCATGGTATCGTTGCAACGAATATACATCACCTGAAGCTGGGACACCGCGAGCTCCTTGCGGCCCTTGGGGAAGGCCACCTTCAAGATGCACTGGCCCAACACCGGTTGCCACACAAGCCGCCGACCCTGGTACTTGTTCTGGTAGTAGCACCTGCGGTTTCATGGCGTTTGCGTGTCGTTTTCGTGCCGTTTCATGCCGGTTTCATGTCGTTCTCGAGCTGTTTCAGCCGTGTCGTGCGGTTTCCTACCGTTTTGTGCCGTTTCGTGCCGTTTCATGCAGTGTCTTGCAGTTTTCACGCCGTTTCGGGCCGTTTCGGGACACGGACCATGACGCCATCGACTGCCGCACAGAAATGGGCGTCGAACCTGACTACAATGTACATCTGTTCTCGTATATTCGTCTCGAAATCGAAGTTGACATAGCCGACCACTCATTGGCCGGCCCGCGCTCGTTACGAACACATGATCAGTTCAACCATGAGCGGTTTCGACATGCTATTATACTGTGTTAAGCGGAATACCAACAAATCCGCACTTCCGATCTTTCCTTTCTAACACAATAATAAGAGTTGCTTTTCTCCCACACGAGAACCCGCGTTTGGTTCTCCTACCAAGCTTCGCCAATAAAAATCTTCAAGAGATGCACTTTCTCACCAACCTTCCGAAATCATCTATAATAGCGTGTGAAGCCGACATCATCATGTCACAGACACAGCGGGTTGTGCTAAAAGGAAGTGTGACAGCCTACACCCGAGCAAGGACACCTACAAGACCCTAGGGGGTACGATATACGGTGCGGTATACGGTATGGCATACTGGCCGCGCCGTTTTCGTCGCTTTGTATGGCATGCATATTCCATGAAAAAATAGCCTTTAAGGCACCTTGTCCGGGGTGAATATTTCATTAAATAATAACGGTGTTTCTGACGACGACAAAGGGCGAAGAACCAGCGGTACAAGACAACACCCACAACGTTTTTCTGCCACCCCAACTCACTTGAAGCACTCGACGTGCTCTTTCATCTCGTCCGGCATTCCCACCTCCATAGCGGGGTACCCTGGCCAATAGCCGGTCGTCAACACCTGATCAGTTCACGCCACCAAGCCGTGGTCAGGTCAACAAGGCCAGATAGATGGGCAAGCGTAGCGGGTGGAGCGAAGATGATGCAGGTGCTACCGCACGACTACACACCTGCTAGTGAGACACACGTGCCAGCGCGGCGTACGTTTTGGCTCTGGAAAAAACGTTGGCCACATTCTGTGTTGAAACTCCCGTCTCCATTGGATTGAGACCGTCAGCGGCATTTTGGACGGAGACGGTCTCACTCATTGTCTCTCGTGGATGACGGCAGCAGTGGCGGCGGCGGCGATGGCAGATACCATTCCACACCATTCCACACCATTGCATGGCAACTCGTCGCACCTACATATCGTTTCTTTCGCTAGAACCGTTGTCAACACCACTCAACAACAAGAGACGTTTCCCATCCATCCAAACACCACTGACGGATGCCTTCGTGACAATACCATGTTTTTGTACCGCAATCAACCGCCAGCGTCTTACAGTAGGCAGCATAGCTGCGTGTGCAATCGTTAGCTCCTATTCCTGTAGTCAGAATCAGCCATGTACTGCTGTAACCTTCTAGTCGTGACCGGCATCTGTCCACAAACCAAGAGCCACTACCATAACTCACCTACCCCGTGTATCCATGCACCCATGACAACCGTCATCCCGCCGATAAAACATCCCCACAAGTATTGCCATCATTGTCATCGCCACACCCTTCACTGGCGCCCTTATATCCACCAGCAAAATTACACCGCACCCTAGTAAACCGAATAAATCATCGTCATCATCGTTCTCGACAGCACCGTAAACCTCAGCGTACCATCGACTTCTCCTCTTCACAGCCACTACCTATTGTCGGCGCCACTTCCAACCTTACCACAAACCACTGACACAGCGACATTTCGCCGCCACCATCCCAACCATCGCAGTTCTACCAGCAAGCATACCTGCACGTGCAGATCCATTTCCCTGCTCTTGTCGAGCTTGAACACTGTCCTGTCGTGAAGCTTAGTCTTAAGGTGGTGCGAGTACGTCGTCATCAGGTCTCGACTGAGGTCGATGTCCTTGAACATTCCTTCCAGCTTTGACGTGAACGCACTTCCGCACTCCGTCTTTAGCAAAAAAAAAAAGCACACACACACACACACATGCAACAAGAGCGAAAGGCGAAGGTGCTTTACTCCATTCACCACGTTCAACGGGATGATCGATCCTGTCACATTGATTCGGCGTCATATGTAGTGCGAAGTATCCCGGAAGGGGGTGAGAAAATCCTGCAACATGCCCTCTACAGTGCAACTTTTCACTACGTGCGGGTCCGTCATTCAGTCTCCGAAACAGCCGCAAAACAAAACATGCACAACGCGTACATGAACTAGGAGAACATACGTCAAGGAAACCAAAAAAGCATTTCGATTGTTGATGTATGATTCCTTGCAAACAACGGGGCGAACGAAACGAAGCGCCAAGAAGGACGATCGAGCAAAAACATGGATTTTCTTGCTGCTGACGTGTTCTCCGTGTTCTCCGTTTTGTTCCTACGTCGCGTTGCATTTGATTTGAAACGTTTCTCCTTGGTTAGCTGGCATAGATGGCGTGTGGTAATTTACCTTGAGCTTGGAGATGATGGACCTCTCCAAGTCGAAGCTGGAGCTCTTCCCGAGCAGCAATCTTTTGGCCAGGTCCTTCTTGTAGAATGCTTCGAACACGTCTTTCCCTTGCAGATACCTGGTGAAAAACAACGTGCCAGGAACGTCTACAAATGAACCAAAACTAGGGCAACAACAACCACAGCAACAAAACAAAACTGCAACAGGAGGGCAACAACAGCAGCAACAACATAAACTACAGCTAACATGACAGCAGCAGCAGCAGCAGCAGCAGCAGCAGCAGCAGCAGCACAACAAGCAACAACAACAACACAGCAGCGTAAGTGAGAGGCATATTCGTAAATTACTTCCCACCTGAATAGCACCATGACCCTGTCGAGGACGGCTTCCACCTCGTCGTCCGACGTACCCTTCTCCCCCTTGAGCTTCACGTCCAAGAACTTCGCCATCAGCTCCGCCGGCCGGTTGTGTCTGCATGACGTCACATGAATGACGTCACATGAAATACATGTCGCATCGAATGAATGACGTCACACTAAATGCATGACGTCACATCACATGCAAGACGTAGCATCAAACGTGTGAGGTCACATCGCATGCATAGCCTCACAATGCAAGGCATAAGCTGGTCTGGACTACATCAACCTTGTGACGTCACGCCCAAACGTGTGATGTGGCATCACAAGCATGGCGTCACTTGCGACGCACATGACGTGATGTTACAGTAGCGCGGGACGTATGCTTCTTCGTGGAGTATCCATCACCCCAATAAAAATGCGATATAACCCACGAAGTCATGGTACATAATGAAACGTCATGATGACGTCACCTTGCATTCGCACCACGTGCTGACCAATCGCAAGTTAGGAAGAGAGGCGCCAAACGTTCAACAAGAGGGATTACTCTCACACGTAACTCTCGAATGTAAACCTGTATTTCAAAGTTATCTACATGAACCTAGAAATTCAAAGTCCCGTACACGTATGACCCTGCCACATCATCGGACGATTTCAGATAGCATGACCATATGGCTGACGATAGGCATATTAGGCACTATTCTACCTTGCGTTGAGGAAAGCTTCCCAGGCTTCCTTGAGCTTGTAGCGGTACGACTCGTTCCCATCACAGGCTGTGTTGATGCACTCGTCCAGCTTTGCTCGGAAGGCCAGGAGGTTGGATATCATCTGCTTGTCGTTGTCCTGTCAGAAAACACACATCGAGACACATCAAGACACATCGAGACATATCAAGACAAATCATCAAGGCATATCACGACTCGAGGCACATCAAGACACAACGACACACTAACCTACATAGAGACTATTAGGGGTGTCAAAGCGGAAAACTTGCAATAGGAAAAAATTCGAAAAAGCGTCTTCGGATCTTGCTGATGGAAAATCGACCAACCAATGAAATTGCACGGAACCGTCGGAACCTCCCGAAAAGACCGTCTGACGCACACGCGCGAGGGCGCGGCTCGCCTGTGTGCTTTGCGCCCTGCTATGGGGCACAGCACAACACCATTGCGCGGTCCCACTCTAGAACACATGCCTCATGACACACCCGAGCAGCAGCCGGGCGGTGAAGCCACGCAGGCACCTGCCGCCGCCGCTGCTGCTGCTGAGAAAAACAGCAGCAGCAGCAGCGGCGGCGGCGGCGGCGGCAGCGAGGTTGAGCCTGGCTCTCTTCCACAATTTTCTTACTTTTGACCAACTCTTCTTTCGTTTCCTTCAGCGTTCTCTCTACGACGGTGAGGCTGCCGCGTTCGATAGCGCGCCGCGTTTTATCTTCTGCTGACGCGGCAACCACACACTGCCCCGTCCTCTCTTCAAACTTCTTTTTGTTTTGATTCAGCTTTCGGGCAGCGCGCCTCCTGCTGCCGAACGGCGCGGACCTCGATTCTTTTTTTTAGGAGGGTCTGCTGGTGTGGGCGCTGCAGCCCCACTGCAGGGACAGTTTTCAGACATGTAGATCTCGTGGTTGGCTGATACGATTCGGATGCGGTTTGTTGTGTGGTATAGCTGTAAACCCCAGGTAGAGGGCTGTAGGGTCGCTTTCACGAGAGGAGCAAAGGTCGCCTTGGGCGTGGAGCAAACAGCCCAAAAAAACATGTATATTGGTGTTGTTCGTCCGCCCTTTTACTTTTAAGAGAAAACCTTTCCTACAGTCACCTCTATTGGACCTGTGTCCAGGTTTGTGTAACGCATGAAGAGCCATGCTGCCGTATGGACGCAGAGCTACCTGTACAAACAAATTGACTTGATGTGTAGTTTATTCAGTATTAACAGCGGGATTCTCAAGAACCAAAAAAAGAACCAAATCCGCGTGCCCCCCTCAACTTTTGCCGAATGGACCGGACGTTTTTTTGGCCCCAAATTCCGCCGCTTTAACACCCCTAACTGTCGAGACTCATCGAGACTCGTCGTGACACACATCAAGACACATCGAGCCACATCGAGACATATCAAGACATATCATCAAGACTCATCACGACATCGAGGCACATGGAGACACATCGACACAGTAACCCACATAGAGACTCATCGAGACTCGTCGTGACACACATAAGAAACTTCGAGCCACATCCAGCCACATAGAGACTCATCGAGACTCGTCGTGACACACATCAAGGAACTTCGAGCCACATCCAGCCACATCGAGACACACCGAGACACATCGAGCCACACCGAGACATATCAAGACACATCAAGACACATCATGAAGATATATCACGACATCGAGGCACATGGAGACACATCGACACAGTAACCCACATAGAGACTCATCGAGACTCGTCGTGACACACATCAAGACACATCAAGACACATCATGAAGATATATCACGACATCGAGGCACATGGAGACACATCGACACAGTAACCCACATAGAGACTCATCGAGACTCGTCGTGACACACATCGAGACATATCACGACACATCGAGGCACACCAAGACCCACCAAGCAAGGCAGATAGATGATACGAGCAGGCCAGAGTCAACTCATACCGAACAGGCATGGTGAGACAGAGAACCACGCCGCGAGAAAGACGAATCCGCATACTGTTCAAGCGACAAGACAGATCGGATAGATCAGATTGGAGTATCAGTCCGGGATAAGTCCTGACTCACCTTATCGTGGACTATGTAGAGTCCCTTTGATTGCACGTACGCCGTCATCGCTGCCTTGAGCTAAACAGAACCAAGCCAGCAAACCGCGATAGTTAGCAGCGACGACGGAGCCGAACAGACAAGACGATTGGGTTATACAGCAGGTCTAGAGCACAATAGCGTCTTCGTCCCACAGCAACAACAACAACCGCAGTAGACAAAAAAACGAGAACTGAAACAGGGCGTTCAGGGCAACGGCTAGGTTAGGTTCGACAGAAACAGCGAGTGGACAACATCAGCGGACCAACCCATGCCGCCCATCGCGATGACAGGAGGCGTACCCAGCCTCGCAGGCTTACAACAACAACGAGGTGGTGCCTAGACAAAAATTGAGGCGGCACACTGGTGCTGCAACCCTTAGAAACGCAGCTGTGGAGCACCAGCACCGGTAGCGGTAGCGGTAGAGGCAGCGAGAGCACCACGTAAACGAAATCATTTCGACGAATTTCATCCAAGGAGCTTCAGAAGCGAGCGGCGGTACAGACAGCAAATTCGCTCAAAAACGACTCAGGACGAACACCGGCAGAGTCGAAGGAGCTTCCCGAACGTTTTTCTGCGGGTCGTGGTGGTGGTGGATAGTGTGGTTGTGCCGCATTTTTGGCTCCATGTACTGGCCCATGGAGCTATCGTATTGTGGGGGGCTTTGTCGGTGTCACCAATACATGTATCATCACTGCTGTCGCAATCCAAGTCGATATTGTAGTATATATTATAGTATCATTATCGCAGACAGCGCTGCTGCTGCTGCCACAAAGGTCTGACATTACGGAAATGATGCTGCCGTCGGCATCCATGTAAGTCGCCGAAATAACACTGCTGCTGCTGTAACAACGGTGTATCATCGCAGAAACAACGCTGCTGTCGGCATCTCAAGGTTTCGTCGCAATCGACCGCAGCAACATGTACGTACCTCATCCAAGGCCTGTACCCGCTGAAAGAGCTGGTACATGACCTTCAGCTCCGGCAACCGCTGCGAGTCCATGAGACTGCCAAACCCGCGCTCCAGCAACGCCTGCAGCAACGGGTTGGAACACCCAGCACAAGCGGAGCAATATCGGTGCTCGCTCTCAGCTCGGACAGAAAATATTGTTTGGTGAGGTCCACGACAACAGTGATCATCAATTTTTGATTGAATACAAACGGTTTCGGATGAGGTTGTTGGCTTGAGTAAGTGCTCACATTGAAAGTCGAATTTCGCCCACAAACCAAACAGTACACATCTACACGGCGGGAAGACAAACCCGCAACAACAGTGACCGCGGCGCCGAGGAGCGAAACAACAAACAAACAACAACAGTCACAGCAGCAGTAGCAGTAGATGGGATCAACACCAAAACACACCACAAGCAGGTGATGGTACTAGCCCTCTTGTGTGTGTCGCAACAGGCACAAACTTGGATGACATTGTGGTCTTGGTCATGCCGGTGGAGGGTATAGACTAAATGGCATATATTTATAGCAGTGCTAGTCAAGGTATATATAGATAATAATCAACGAATATGGTCAAGATGACGATTTCGTCCAAGGTCGTGGCCCTTGCGACACACACAAACGGTAACGGTTCAAGATCACAACAATCGCGAAAACACCATCACCGCTAAGTACCGCCAACACCATCACCAGCGCAACTTACAACCACCACCACCAACAGCAAGATGCAACAAAACAGCGACGACCGCGTACAATTGTGAGACAGACAAACCTACCTGCGTGTGCGGCTTGAGGAGCTGGCTTTCCGCCGTGGTGACGAGCAGCTTTCGCGTCGACGAATCCAGGTACAGTGACGCTCGGTCTGCCTCCTGTAACACCGATTTACACCGGACGCGTAGTCAGAAAATCGACGACCAGGGCAACACTACCAAGGCACTGACAATGACAATACGGCTGACGCATCCAGCATCGTAACAGCGGGTAGCTGTCAGGGGAAAAAACGCAAGTTGTGAGGGGAGCATACTTGTCGCCAATGCAGTACGTTTCTACTGGACGCGTTCCTTCCACGACCCCCCCCCCTCTTCCCTTCTACAGTAATAGGGATGGGGTGTTGCGGTGCCCCCTCTTTCCCATACCCCCCCCTTCTATGTCACCATCCTCTTGTTTGGTATCAAAGGTTAAGTGACAACCTTGCCGGAGACGCTCCTCGACAACCCCCCCCCCTGTACAGCGGTGCCCTCCCCATCCTCAACCCCTCCCTTTCCTGTCATTCTTGGTTGTCTCAGGAAAGGCAAGGTGTGACGGACCTGCTGAAGGCGCTCCTCGACGTGCTGCAGGAAGTGCGGTACGTCGGCGGTGGCCATGTAACGAACGCCTTCGGCGGCGTAGAACTCCTCCGTCTCCCTCAAGAAACGCCCCTCGAACAGCTCCTCGTACACCTAGACATCAAATCAACGAACGCCCATCACATCACGATCATGACAACGGCACCCATATCAGGCAGGGCTGCTGAGGAAGGAAAGACTCGGAAAAATGTGAAAATGTAACCTCTCGACACAACATCAATCGAACAATTCAAGCGGGACTGGGGCAAGCTGTTGAAACACGATGGTACCTTGCATTTGATGGAACATCCATGCAATTTTGGTAAACCGAAAGCTCAGAATGCATCTTCACACGATCGATGCAGGTTGGATCCTTTAATGCTTTCTCTCCGCAAAGAAAGTAACGAGTACAACAGTACAATACGTGCACCGGCGACAACAAGCTTCTGGGGCAAGCTTCTCACCTGTAGCGCTGACAGCATGCGAAGGAGGCTGCGGAGAAGGGGACGGTTAACGTCCACCCCTGTTCGCTCACGCTCGATCAGCGTCAAGATCCCCGCCACCGTCTTGGCCTCTACCTCCTCTAGTGCCTGCAACACGATAGAAAGTGTAAGCGGGGGGCTCGTGTTGTTGTGGTAGTATCTTCTTCTCCTTCGTCTTCGTCTTCTTCTTACAATCTTGTTAGGATTGCTGTAATATCAGCCCAAACGTGTCACCTTGGTTGTAGCTGTCGCCTCGCCACTCTTGTGCAGTCCCAACCAGCTTCCGCCTTAACCGGGATTCTATAGCTCTCACCGCCGTTGCTATACCGTTACCACAAAACTTGGACTTAGTGCTTTAACGTTCGTCGCCATGAAGAGGTACCACTCCCTTTTCATTTTCTCAGCTCTACAACATGCAAACCACATCCATTCCCGGAACCACTCCAACAAAACCGAACCTGAAAGTGGTTCCGAAAGTGCTCCAGCCCCATGTCCCAGATGCTCCGGAGGTTGGGCGCCTGTAGCACGAAGCTGCGGTCGAGGTACAGGAACACGTTCCGCAGAGTGAGCATCGAGGAGCAATGGTCCTGCCACTTCCGGTCCACCAGCTGCAGGAAGGCGTTGCAGTCCGGGGTCTGTCCTACTAGCGACTCCATCTCCCGGCGTGTGTGGGACCCGCACTCGTCTCTCAATCTGAAGCAGCAACAGCAGCGCAGCAGCAGCAGCAGCAGAAGCAGTAGCATCAGCAGCAGCACCAAAAGAAGCAACATCAAACAAAGACGACAGCAAGAGGAGAAAGGGTAAGTAGTAAGAGCTGCTAGCGGCGAGAATTGATATCACCAGAGGCCGATGGTACTGGCGGCAGCGATTGGACAGCTGGTAGGGAAAATCGGGTCTTGTCTACTTGCAGCAGTTGAGGGCATTACATGTGACGATGCAAAAATGAAAAAATGTACGCCACCTGATGTTATTGCTGTTGTTGCTGCTGCTGCTGCTGCTTTTGTCGTTATCGTCAGTAAAAGCGCTAGCTGTCACTACTGTCAGCAGCAAAGCTGTGTTGGGGTGGCAAGTACCAACGGTTCCAGCACCCGTCACCGGTGGGGAGACACGAAAAAACGCCGGGATCTACCACATCTACCACATCTACCACTGAAACAATCCGACACGCTGGTTGCCAGCCAAAATCTCACTAGGCCTCGTCCGCTGATGATGACGGGTCTCACGGCAAAGATTTACCACGCGCTCCAAATTTACCGGAAATTTTCTAGTCCATGGACACATGACACCAAAACCCCGTCCTGCGGCAAAAAGTACCGCGGACCTTCGCGCATGTAGAGCGTCATTGTAACACGGGTGAACACATGCCGGCAACGCCAGGAAGGCATCGACTCTTTTTCTACTCCGACTTCAAGATTGTGCGTCAGCGAACATCGACTGCGGGAGCTCACTGGCACCTGCGCGCGTGTACCTAATGTATCCGCTCTACCTTCACCCTCCCGAAGGATGTTCGTGTGTTGAAAGGTCGCCGGCGTCATGCACGAGGCTAGCATCGGACGTCATGACACCATGCTCTGCATCGTCCGTCCCCATTGCGGTGAGACGCTCGCTGGTGCGTGGGAGGGGGCCATGGATCATGTGTCAACTTGGATCGCTAGCACAAAGATCTCCGGAGATAGCGTCAAATAACCAAATCAAGTCGGAAAACGTCCAGAGGTGGGCACAAATCCGCGACAATATTGCGTGTATTATAGGCATACTGCATAGAAGCTTCACATTCGATTGTTGCGCTTGCCTGTCGTAGAGATTGGCGCCCATCTTGTGAACACAGAGGTCCTCGACGGCCCTGTAAAGCTCCTCCCTGCTCGTATCGATGGGCTGCTTTGTCTGGATCGCGACGACCGCCCTCTGCAGCATCTCCCAAGTGCTGTCCTCGAACTGCTCAGGCAGCTTCGGCTGAACCTAGCAGCATACATAGCAGCAGCAGCAGGAGCCAACGAACACACGGTGGTGGTAGTGACGATGGGGGTGATGGGAAGTTTTTCGGATGAGGATTTGCAAGCAGATAGCGGGAGAAGGGACAGGTGTGACGAACGTTATCCGGGCCTTGGCCCACGTGTTTGAAGACCGACACTCGACTGCCAGTAGCAGGCGCGGGCAGAACCATATCTGCTTGCCGCCGTTAGGCACTAGGCACGTGCTCTGATTCTGATTAATGGAGTGCAGGTGGATGTTGGTAATGTCGCAATACACCAGAGAGTATCCCACGGCGTCTTATCTCAACAGTTCGTGTGTCCCACAATCAAATTGGCGGGCGGGAGACGGGTGTATCCTTTTACTACAAGGTATGGCGAACAGTCTCTTGGTGTGATTGGTCGCGGGAAAGGCGCTGAATAATAACCCTAATCGCGTGTCACAGGGGGGAAGCCTTATCCGCTCGACGCTTCGAATCCTTCGCCGCTAGTCGCCATGTTCGAGATGGGGCCACCGCTGCACAGCAAATTATCATTTTGATCATAATAGCTAAAAAAGAGTCCGTACTAATATGTACGGCACGTAAATCAACGAATCGGTGGCCTTACTATCATGGCGACATTTCGATTGATTTATATCTGAGAGCATTCCCCCTTAACATGGGGATTTCATGCACGTCTTATGTATCTCAATCACCCCGCACCAGTGCTCGGGGGTATTTTGCATATCTGGTCTCATTATCATGCCCGGATGATTTCGCTGCCATTTCCCTCGTACGAAAACGATCGACGGTATTCTCACAGCAGTACCGCGATATCCCGACAGGCTGAACGCACCCCGCCCAAACACTTTCTAAGCCCCAGCGCCGTCTCGAGGGCCTCCTCGTTGTTGTCTGTAAACATGTACATAAACATGGTACAGCGGGACTTGACAGCAGTTCCACAAAAACATGAACACCACCCTCCTGTGCTGCGTGGGCAAGCAAGCCTTTGTCGTATTCGTTCTCCCCTACGCAACCACTGCAATACACACCTTTCCCATGTCCTGACATGTGCGAGCGAGAACCCCTGCTCAAATGGCATTGGATCTCAGCACTCTTTCGGATAGTTAGGCTATTAGGCCATTGTTGGGGGGGGGGGACGCTGTGTAATCAACACGTGCCTCCAACGGCAGATCCCCCCTCCCTGTAAGCCTGCCGCTGAGCTTCGATTAGGGTTCTCTCATGGCACATGTGTTTCTGCATGTACATCCCCGGGCACAACAGGAAAAGCGGCGGTAATTGGGCGGTTCCAACGGTCCATTTGCTGCACACATTTTACTTGTAACGCATCTGCAAAGTGTAGCTCCAAACCCCCGCACGTACATAGATATGAGGGTAACGTGAGAACGACCGCCCGCATTAACGCATGACGGAGACTTCTGCTCGGCTACTGCGGAAATTCGATCAGAGTAAAACGGTTGATCAGCTAGACTCTTGCTTGCATCCAGTTTTATCACCATGGCAACATATCTGGTATGTCGAAGGACTTCGGGGTACCCCTGCCCAAGGCAGGCGATATCTTCTTCACTGACTGATAAGTCTGTACACACGGGGGGGGGTCAATCGGCAATCTCGAGGCAGTGATGCAGCAGGTAACGGCCTTTCGGCTCTGCATGGACTTGGTCGAGATCATCGGTGGATCCGATACCGCTGTTGCTGCTGATACTGATGCATCCAAACAGCACAACACAGAGCACGCCATGCTATTCTAATCGCGAACTCTTGGCCGCAAGAAACATGGTAAATTGTATCTGAAGGGCTTGGTCGATCCCACCGCACTGCTGAACAGCTGTACGCTGTACACTGCTACTGCCGCAGTTGCGGCAGACCCACTTGACTTGAAACGAATACGATTTGTCTCTGATTCACGTCTTGGTTGTTGGATCAGCTATAGGTCTGAATTCCACGCGGGGTTTGAAGGCGTTGAGTTGCTGAACATTGGCCCGCCCCCCCCCTACTTCAGCCGAGGTTTAAGACTCACATGGCAGAGGAAGCACAGCGGTGTACCTACACACTACACCACCGTTTGCCTCTTTTGTATATCGCTGAGCGATCTCATGCGCACCTTGAACGGCTTGATGACCATCTTCTTCTTCACCCCCGTCGAGCTCCCCGCCGCCTTGCCCGAGGAGAAGCTTCCCCGCCCCTGCTTGCCCATCATTATCTCTGCCCCTTGGTCGGATTCCTTCGTGCTGTAGATCTAAACTGACTTTCAAACACAGAGGTGTAGTGTTGGTACAGTATACAGCAGGCGGAGCAGCAGCAGCTCTGCTTCGGGGAGCTGACTGCAGCAGGTGCAGCGGAAGCGGTATCAAACACAACCGTCGAGAGCACGTTTGGGCTCCGACAGCGCGGGAAAACAAGACCACTCGTTCACGCGTGCCGTCAAGTTGTTACCCTCTCCTTGGATGAACCCCCGCTTGAGACAAGCAGGCAGGCAGAAGGGTGCGCCCGGCGCACGACGGGAGGCAGGGAGGCAGGGGCAGGGAGCGGGGGGGCTCGCAATCTGTACTATCACCCCCCCGCCCGGACACGTGGGCGGTGTCTGATGTCTGATGACTGACTGACGTGCGCGTCGCACATCCATCTGATGAACCTACTTAGCCCGAGATCATCAGGCAAGTGCGGTGGTATCGACACGCTAGCGACGGAGGTACACAGCGGAAAGGGTTGAGCTGGTAGTGTTGGAGTGTTAAGGCATAGGACGTTGTGCTAGAACGACGGCAGGTTTGGAGCGGCCACCCAGGGCTGTTCGTTTTGGCGAAACGTACGTGGGGAGCCAGGAGCCAGCTGGGTGCAGGCTAGGCGACGTGCAGCCTGCAACAACCTGCTGAACTTTAAGCTTTCGACCAATCCCGCCAACGACTGCTCCCACCGAGAGACACAGAAAGGGAGGGCACGGGAGGTGTCGAGAGCATCCTAGTGCTGTCCTCGAGGCATGAGCGGGCTCGGTCTACTGGTGAGTGCGGGTAATAGGCGAAAAAGCCTCTCCTTCTGAGAGGGAGAATATGAAAGGATGCAGCGACTCCCTCCCCTCCCCTTTTTCAGCGCCGACCATGCGGCGTGCAACCGCAAGTCATGTTGTCCGATAAAAACGACAGAGGCTCCTTCCCCCCACGCCCCTCCCGCTGTTGCAGGTTACCGCAAGTGAACGGGCCGGTAGTAGTGAAATGGACAGTACTTGTGGAGGAAGTGGCGCCTCGCCCCGCGGCAGCAAACGGCCCGCACAGGACACGACCATGAGTTCAGCTTCAGAGACGGCTGCGAAGGGCGGCGGGGGCATTGAGGTTACCGCACCAGAAGCCAAAGCACCAGAAGACGGCGTTAAGGGAGAAGGGGGAGAGGGGGAAGGCGAGCAGCAGAGCAATGGGGCGAGCGAGAACGGAGATCTGGCGGCGCGGCGCGGCGATTTGGATTTCTGCAAGCGAAATGAGGTGTGATTTATGATGGTGGTTTGCGTTGGTTGTTATGCGTTTTTTCCGAAGCTTGGCGACCGAACAACCCGCCAGATCGCCGTCGTCAGCTAAGTCCTAAGTCGGAACTTTTCAACGAATCCAGTCAATTGTATAACATACCATGATGCCCTGCGCCCTCATCCTTGACAGTCCCGTGGCATCTGTTTCTCTCTCGCGCCCGAGCGCGCCTATCCATGACGCGACTCCTGGGGATGCGTGAGCACCCCAACTCGATCGGATAATTTTTCATTTTCTATTGTCATGTGCACAAATGGCCCGGTGCGTAGGCAGCTTTATGTAGACGGAAGATTTTTGAAAATTGTTGCGAGCTCGGCTTTCTAGCGAGCAGGGCTAAACTCACCCTCAAGGGACCGATACCTTCTTGCTGCGGCGCACCCGCCGCGAGGCGTGCGTAGTGGTGAAGTTGGGTCGGCACTTGTGCCTCAGGTACAAAGGTGCAGATGCGCGGGCCTCCAGGCCGTCGATATAGGCAGCAATGCCCATCTCATCTTTGTGCGCGGAGGCAGACGCCATCAGAAAGGTAGACGGGCACCATGTACACGGCCCTAGGTTTGCTAGAGGGAGCTGTACTGTCCCAGTAATCTGGCTTTGCCATCAAAGGGGGAAGGGACAAGTGGTGACGAGCTGATTGGGCTGGTTGACCCTTCGGCGCGAGAATTTTCAGACCAAGAACCTGACATGAAATGAGGGAGAAAGCGAGGAACCGACTGGGGAGGACAGCAACGAGAGCGTGTACGAAGCGGAGCGGGTCGAGTTTGGTCGTTGTAGGACTGGCCACAGCGGCACCGGAGCAGCGGAACCGGAGCAGGCGGACGGCATCGGACCGTGGCGCACGAACGAACATCTCTTATGTGTCAATTATTTTCCGTTTTTCTTAAATGTAGGTGTTGGGTGTGTGTGATGACGTCACTGGTTTTGTACAGACGCGGCAGAGATTGCGCGGATAACCCGGGTGCCTTAATTGTGTACCTGCATCATGGGAGACCCCTTCAATGTGGAACGATTCCTAGTCAGTGTCGATGTTTGCACTGCTGTGTCTTAACACAGATGATCTGGATAGACTCGGGTGATCGTCAATTGCAATGATGGCTTTGGTTGGTTGTTCTTCATTGTATGTCCACGGACTCATTCTGACAGCACTTCAGACAGCAGCTACATGCTCCGAGCTTATGTACCATGCACCATGGTGTTATTACTGTACAGACAGCACTTCAGACAGCAGTACGCTGTAGTCGACAAACATTCATTTTGGTTGAGTGCGGGACAAGGGGGGTGATGTTGCTGCTGTAGTCGAAGTGTAGTGTGTGGGCGTGTAGTTCAGTTGTGAGCACGCAAACGTGCGGCAGGAATTGTAGGTGTACCTCCTCGGGCTTGTGTACACTTATCTTGCAAATAGTGTGTGTTTTCTTAAGATCTTCTGATGGCTTTACTTGTAGCATTTTTGTGACCACGGACCGAGTCTTTGCTAGATTTTGGGATTAGCAACTGACACGAGTTCAATGTGAAGAAAACAGTAACAACAAGAACAACAACAATCAAACCTCTTGGGCGTTTCACCACTGTTTTGTTCTCCTTTGGCGGACATTCGGCATATTTTCCCAAGAACCTTTGCGTCTACTTCTCATGTCCTCGGCATGTTTGTCGTTTTTCGAAGAAGCGCTTACATCTGATTCACGTGAGGGAGCCGGGGGAGAGCGCTTTGTTCTTGACAGCAGCGAAGTATGCATATGGTAGCAAGCATTCTACCCGCCTGAGGACCGAATCGGCTACATCTTTATCGTGAGAGTCTCCTTCTCTCTCGCGCGTGGGCTGGAAAAGCGGGGGAAAAGAAAAAGCGGAGATATTCGTGTGTTGAGTTTTACCAGATGAGACGCAAGACCAGCAGCACCACGAGTTTCTACTCCTGTATGTTCAATTGAAGAAATCAATTCGAATTCCACAGGAAACCCTTCAGACCGCAGCATACGTACATTGTACTGCTGGTGTGGTAACCGTAGCTCTAGTTTCTTGCATAGCAATCGTTCAGCTCGATATTTTGCTCCTGCTTGGCGGGACAGTGTGTTGCGGAGTTTTTTTTCAGGGTATCCTATGTAAGTCTGTATGCAGAAGTCATTTTTGTTGCGTGTGTCAGCGTTCTACCCTGATGGAGGGGATACCGCTGCGACTACACACCTTTGGTTTTAAAGCTAGCGGCTAGATACATGTATGTATCTGCTGCATCTCATGAGTCTTGTCTCCGAAGGTGTGTCCGCTTTTTGAATATCGGAGCGGCAGCGCCGCCGCCGCCGGCAACTTCAAAATGCCCCGCGAGAGCTGAGAGTTACCCTGGTCCCACCACACCTCCCTAGCAACTTTTTGTAGAACCACCACCATGACAAACACCCTCAGAGAGGACTCCTTGGGTTCTGTACAAAGGATTATTTTCGCACGCTGAAGGGGGTGCAAACTCTGGGTGGTTTGAATTGGGGAGTGCGGAACAATACTAAGATTTTTTCGTGCCCGAACAGCTGAAAATTGAAAATTGTTGGGAGACATGTCGGTTCACGCCAAGAGTTGTATCCAAACCTTGCGTTGTGCCTGCTGGTAAGTGCTCGGTGCTTCCCAAGACGGGCACGTCGCGGTTAAGTCAAGCTGTATTTCAAGAACTGCTGTCACTTTCATGTATTGCTCTGGCACCGCGTGTTTGCTGCTTCGTTTGTGTCTGCTTGGCATCCTTGTCGTTGACGACATATCCTGACGGTAACGTCATCATACTGTCTCAACAGAGCTTTGCTCACAATCTTTCTGTGTTTACATTTATTTTTTCTAACAACCGCAGGCTCAATGGCTCAGTGATCCTTTCCTTTTCGTATTTGTGTTTTAGTGTGAGGCGGGTGTATATGCGGGAGGGGCAGCTGGCCCGCTGCACGAAAGATGATTGGCAGTCAAATGCAGCAGGTTCAGCGCGTACTGGCTCTATCGTTGTCTCAGCTGTATAGTATGTATGCATAGATAGCTGTGTTTACATGGTGGAGGTAAACTTTGGTAGATAGATTGCCAATGGGCCGCGTGATGGTGGCGGCCACATGTGGAATGTTTTTGATGCTGCAGGCGTCGAACCTCGGGCGCAAGTATCGTCGCTCGCAGCTCCAACTGTCCCGCCCAGACTTCGGGTGGTTTTTGGTCACCTACCTAACCGGATCCAGCTCGGATTCTTGGCCATCACTTGTATCCTCGCCAAGCCGATCCAAACTTCAAATTTCAACAGGTCATTGCGGGGCTTTCCCATCTAGAGGTAGGCACAAACTCCCGATGGCCATACACGCAGGCAGCTGGTACGGCGCCAAACGGCAAGGCTTGTGCTCCTCATTCTCAGCACGCGTCGCAGAGTGCAAGCACGTTGTGTCGTTCCGGTTTGTCGTTATTTGAGCCGCGGGTGTCAGGGCTGGAACATGGACTTTATGTCTCGCTCAGAGTCCTGCATGAGGAACTTACTGTCCGAAACCCATGCCCCAAACGTAGAATCAATGCGGCAGATAACGCCGTAGCGTGCATTGAGTGTGGGGCAAATGGGTATGATGTGAGATTTCACGCCTTGCCCTCAGCGTACCGAAAGCGACCGTTTTTGTTGAGCGTTGAGTGTGCGCACACGCCCCACCTGAACGTGCTGTGTCAGGTGCGTGTGCTTGTGGCGATGCATTTTTGTTGATAAAGCAGGTTTTTTGTCTACTCTTTTTTATGCCCGCTCCCATGTAGGTCATCTGTGACAGATCGAAAGCCTATGCATGAAGGAGAGGCTGCCATGTGTCAGTGTGTGCCTTGTATTGCTGCTGTTGTATGTAGCGTCAACCGCGCTAGCCGAGAGGCTGCTGGCCAATGAAAAGACGTCGGTCAGGGCGGCTTTGTGTTGGCATCTATTCTGGTGCCAGCCTGCATCTTTTTGGGTGTGGATAGACATGTGTTGGGGCATGCACCAGCCTTTTGGGCCCTTGTTGCC